GAGGTTTTAGGTGGGTGGGGATGGTAGTCGGGTGTTTAATTAAAGCTATATTAACGTTTTTAGATAAGATAGGGAAGTTTTTTTTGCTTTGGTTTTAAAAAAGGCATTGATAGGGGATAGGGGCAAGGGGGCAGAGTTGAAAGTATATGGAATAGGTGGTAAGTTATTAAATGCTAAAAAGATTTTTTTATGGGATAGTGAGGCTCGGGTTTAGGGTGTGTGAAGAGAGGGAGATTTTCCCCGGTAAAAGTAGGTCTTAGACGGGATGTGTAATGTCCCATGGTTGTTTAAATTTTATAGATGGGGTTGAAAAAGGAAGTAAATGCTAGGGTGTTTGGGAGGGGTTTTATGGGGTCAAATTAAAAAAGGGAATTGACCAGTTACTTTTTTTCTGATGATACTGTGTTATGGGAGATTCTAAAGAAAAATTGCAAAGGGTTTTTGGTGGTTTGGGAATGTGTGTTTTAAAGGTAGAAAGTGAAGTGAAATAGAAAGGTAAGGTGATGAGGGTGTCAAGTTTAGTAAAAAAAAATTGGTATCAAATTTGGGGGGGGGGTATGGAAAAAGTGAATGTTTTTAGATACTTGGGAGTTGGGCGGTGTGGCGGTGGATTTAGAAGTGAGGTTTTAATCATGAATTGAGAGGAAAAAAGGGAGTGGTGCGTTTAGGTATTGTGGGGTCAAAAAAAAGTTTTCTTGGAGGCAAAAAGGGGAAGTATGAAAGTATAGTAGTACCCAAAATTTATATGGGGGTGAGTTGGGTGGTAAATGCAAAACAGGGGAGGAGACGGTTGGAGGAGCGGAGTTTTCCTGTTTTAGGGCAATGTGTGGGTGTAAATTTATGCAGAAAAATTTGGGAGTGTGGAAATTTTGGAGAAAAGGGGTGGGTTTTTAAAAGTATTAGTCAGAGGGGGAGAAGAGGGGTTGTTGAGGTGGTTTTGGGCATTTTGAGAGAATGGATCACGTAGAATGACATGGAAAAAATAAATCTTAGGGGAAGGAAGGCGGGGTTTGGGTGTCCCCGAAAGGGTTGGAGGGGGGGGGTAAAGGAGGTTTTGTGGGTAAGGGGCTTGGACTTCCAGCAAGCGTGCGTGAGCGTGTTAGATAGGAGTGAATGGAGACGAATGGTACTTGGGACCTGACGATCTGTTGGAGTGTGAGCAGGGTAATATTTAGTGAAGGGATTCAGGGAAACCGGTTATTTTCATATAGCGGACTTGAGTCCTGGAAATGGGAAGTACAATGCCTGCACTTTAAAGGAGGGGTTTGGGATATTGGCAGTTTGGAGGGATATGTTGTGTATCTTTATATGTTTATGCTTCTAGACTGTTGTATTCTGAGCACCTCTGCAAAAACAGTGATAATGTGCGAGTGTGGTGAAAGTGTTGAATGATGATGAAAGTATTTTCTTTTTGGGGATTTTCTTTCTTTTTTGGGTCACCCTGCCTCGGTGGGAGACGGCCGACTTGTTGAAAAAAAAAAAAAAAAAAAAAAAAAAAAAAAAAAAAAAAAAAATATATATATATTTATATATATATATATATATATATTATATATATATATATATACAGTGGTCCCTCTCTTTTCGTAGTTCTCGACAATCGTAAATTTCGCCAATCATAGGGGTATTTTCGTATAAACATGGACTCGCTTTTCATAGGTTGACTCGTGAATAGTAGTTCGTCCAGGACGCTTACGCACGGTGTGAGCCGGGGAGGCCTCCCTACCCAGCCAGTCTGGCATTGTTTACCAGTGAGTGAAGGTCACCTCAAGTGCTCCTACGAAATATTTCATAATACAGTGGACCCCCGCATACCGATGGCATCACATAACAATTAATCCGCATACCGCTTGCTTTAATCGCAAAAATTTTGCCTCGCATACCGCTTAAAAACCCGCTCACCGATGTTCGTCCGAGACGCGTCCAATGTGCGCCCTCAGCCAGCCTCACATGTGCCGCCGGTGGCATTGTTTACCAGCCAGCCTCCGCGGTAACATCCAAGCATACAATCGGAATATTTCGTATTATTACAGTGTTTTCGGTGCTTTTTCTGGAAAATAAGTGACCATGGGCCCCAAGAAAGCTTCTAGTGCCAACCCTACAGCAATAAGGGTGAGAATTCCAATAGAGATGAAAGAGATCATTGATAAGTATGAAAGTGGAGTGCGTATCGCCGACGTGGCCAGGTTGTACAAGAAACCCCAATCAATCATCGCTACTATTGGTGGTACAGCTGCTGCTGCTGCTGCACTGTTAGCTGCTGCTGCTGCTGCTGTAGCATCGTCTGCTGCTGCTGTAGCATCGTCTGCTGCTGCTGTAGCATCATCTGCTGCTGCTGTAGCATCGTCTGCTGCTGCTGTAGCATCGTGTGCTGCTGCTGTAGCACTGTTGTTGGTGTGGCTTCTTGAGAATATACCAAGAAACAATTAACCCCAGAGGATTTGCCACCCAGGATAACCCAAAAAAGTCAGTGTCATCGAAGACTGTCTAACTTATTTCCATTGGGGTCCTTAATCTTGTCTCCCAGGATGCAACCCACACCAGTCGACTAACACCCAGGTGAACAGGGAAAAATGCCTGGAACTAGTGCCATATTGGTGAATTTAAAGCCAGCAAAGGTTGGTTTGAGAGATTTAAGAATCGTAGTGACATACACAGTGTGATAAGGCATGTTCTGGAAGAAAATACCAAACAGGACCTAGAGTACTCAGGAGGAAAAGGCACTCCCAGGACACAGTGTCTCATCAGTCATTGCTGCATCTTCAATAAAGGTAAGTGTCATTTATTCTTCATTTAGTAGACTAGTACATGCACAATATATACTGTGCATGTACTACTCTACTATAGTGCATGTATCCTTCTCTTTGTGTGTAGGAAAATGTATATTTCACGTGGTAAAAATTTTTTTTTCATACTTTTGGGTGTCTTGCACGGATTAATTTGATTTCCATTATTTCTTATGGGGAAAATTCATTCGCATACCGATTATTTCGCATAACAATGACCCCTCTTGCACGGATTAAAATCGGTATGCGGGGGTCCACTGTATTCCACTCATTTTAGTGCTTGCAAGTACTAAATAAGCTACCATGGCTCCAAAGAAAGCTCCTAGTGCCAAGCCTATGGTAAAGAAGGTGAGAAATATGTACAGTGACAAAGTCTTGTACCATTTTAGGGAAGTGTTAAAGAGACGCCAGAAACAGAGCTCTCTCCACAGTTACTTTGCGAGACAAGACTAGAGTACTCTCAAGGTGGTCCTAGTGGCATTAAGAAACAGAGAAGAGAAGCAACCCCAGAGAAGCAATTGGTACCTGAGGTGTTGCTGGAAGGGGATTCCCCTTCCAAACTGTAAACAATCCAATCTCCCTCCTCCTCCAGTCTCCCATACACTAAGAAAAATCTCCAATGAAGGTAAGTGTTATGCTGTTAATGTTTCACTCATCATTTCCCATTGTATTGTTTATGTACTATATGTATATTTCATGTAAAAATTTTTTTTGTTTTAATACTTCTGAGTGTCAGAAACGGATTAATTGTATTTACATTATTTATTATGGGGAAAATTGATTCGCAAATCGTAAATTTCTTTTATAGTAGCTCCTCCAGGAACGGATTAATTACGAAAAACGAGGGACCACTGTATATATTTTTTTTTTATTATTATTATCTCACTGGCCGATTCCCACCAAGGCAGGGTGGCCCGAAAAAGAAAAACTTTCACCATCATTCACTCCATCACTGTCTTGCCAGAAGGGTGCTTTACACTACAGTTTTTAAACTGCAACATTAACACCCCTCCTTCAGAGTGCAGGCACTGTACTTCCCATCTCCAGGACTCAAGTCCGGCCTGCCGGTTTCCCTGAACCCCTTCATAATATATATATATATATATATATATATATATATATATATATATATATATATATATATATATATATATTATATATATATACATACATACATACATACATACATACAGTGGACCCCCGGTTAACGATATTTTTTCATTCCAGAAGTATGTTCAGGTGCCAGTACTGACCGAATTTGTTCCTATAAGGAATATTGTGAAGTAGATTAGTCCATTTCAGACCCCCAAACATACACGTACAAACGCACTTACATAGTTGGTCGCATTGGGAGGTGATCGTTAAGCAGGGGTCCACTGTATATGTATATGTATATATATATATATATATATATATATATATATATATATATATATATATATATATATATATATATATATATAATCTTTCATGGTATGTGTTTGTGTTTTGGTACGTGTGTGGGAGAGGGGCAGCATAATGCCGTGACTAGCACTGTATCTAGACACTCATGTAAACATTAACACCAAGAGCTGTAGTTGAAGTTATTTTAAATTGTCTGTAGTAAGGTAAGAATATTTTAAGATATATAGGCTTTATAGTTAGGATGTTAATGAAAGCTCAAGTACAGTGTTAATGTTGAATTTACTCTGGAAGTGGCATACAGTAATAGTGGCAGTTAATTTGTGAATGTATTTCTTAATATGTCAGTTTCCATATCTTTTGAAAATATTAATCAAAGTTAATCTTTTTTGTAGTAAATAATGTGCAGCTATAATAGTATCATTGTTTAACCCTTAAACTGTCCAAACGTAGATGTATGTTCACGTGTGTAGCTCTCCGAACGTAGATCTACTTTTTTTTTTTTTTACATTTGAAAGCATGTAAAATACATAAAATATAGATCTATGTTCGGAGCGTTACGCATGTGAGCGTAGATCTACATGTGGACAGTTTAAGGGTTAAAAGTTGATAAGAAAAATTGCATAGTGTTATATAATAGCGAGATATAAATATTATCTGTTTTACATATACATGGAAAAAATTTTTAATTGATCTCTCTCTGTCATTTTATTTTGAGAATCTAATTTTTTTTTTTTGATGCATTTAAATAATGATTTTATCCAGGATTACCAGTAGTTCTTCTGCGATTGATAGTTGGTGTGAATGTTGCAGATAATGGGTACTATTTGTATGCTGATGAAAAAATTGGGCAGCTGAACCTAAGTCGCCCGTGGGAGCAACCAGATACCACACCAGCACCTGAAGAAGACACTATAATGGACGAGGTAGCAGCTAAAATTATCCATATATGTTTCCACATTGGGTAAGAGACTCAAAAATAATCAGTTGATCATTATCTAGTAAGGTGGCAAGGAACTCCCATCCCAGTTACAGTGTTCCTCTGTATTAACACTACTGTACCATAGTAACACCCCTATATTACTTAACACTACACCACCATAACAGTTACTACAACACTCCACCATAGTAACACTATGGTACCATAATATTTATTACAGTACTCCTCCTTAGTATCACTGTGGCACAATAATATTACAATACTCCACCATAGTAACACTATGGTACCATAACATTAACTAGAACACTACATCATAGTAACACTACACCATCATAACATTAACTACAACACTACATCATAATAACACTACACCATCATAACATTAACTACAACACTACATCATAACAACACTACATCATCATAATATTAACTACAACACTACATCATAATAACACTACACCATCATAACATTAACTACAACACTAGTTACAACAAAAAACTAAAGTAATTTTTTTTTTTCAACAAGTCGGCCGTCTCCCACCGAGGCAGGGTGACTGAAAAAAGAAAGAAAATCCCCAAAAAGAAAATACTTTCATCATTCAACACTTTCACTACACTCACACATTATCACTTTTTGCAGAGGTGCTCAGCATACAACAGTTTAGAAGCATATACGTATAAAGATACACAACATATCCCTCCAAACTGCCAATATCCCAAACCCCTCCTTTAAAGTGCAGGCATTGTACTTCCCATTTCCAGGACTCAAGTCCGACTATATGAAAATAACCAGTTTCCCTGAATCCCTTCACTAAATATTACCCTGCTCACACTCCAACAGATCGTCAGGTCCCAAGTACCATTCGTCTCCATTCACTCCTATCTAACATGCTCACGCACGCTTGCTGGAAGTCCAAGCCCCTTGCCCACAAAAGCTCCTTTACCCCCTCTCTCTCCAACCCTTTCAAGGACGACCCCTACCCTGCCTTCCTTCCCCTATAGATTTATATGCTTTCCATGTCATTCTACTTTGATCCATTCTCTCTAAATGACCAAACCACCTCAACAACCCCTCTTCTGCCCTCTGACTAATACTTTTATTAACTCCACACCTTCTAATTTCCACACTCCGAATTTTCTGCATAATATTTACACCACACATTGCCCTTAGACAGGACATCTCCACTGCCTCCAACCGTCTTCTCGCTGCTGCGTTTACCACCCAAGCTTCACATCCATATAAGAGTGCTGGTACTACTATACTTTCATACATTCCATTCTTTGCTGGTTATGGCTGCTATTTACGAATCCAGTACGTATTTATTTTTCTAATTTTGAGAATTTTTTACATAGATTAAAATAACGTGTCATATTTGTATAAATGGTAATCATTTATTCACTATGAAATTGTCATCATTTTTATGATCTGAGACCGTTTTGTTTTGAGTTTTTGTTTTTGCTGTTTGCTTAATGACAACTCAGAACAGCTTATCTTAAATCGGTATACTTTCTTCATTTCTCTTTAATCTTATTCCCCCTCCCTAATTCAATGCCTTTCTAGAGAGTGCAGATTTAGTGCCCTCAGTCTGTCCTCTTTGGAAAGATGTCTGACACTGGTTTGCTACATCAGCTATGGTCACCTTCCTTTCTGCCAGAGTCTTTCAACACCTTCATCTCTGACCCATTTCTCTCTCCTGTGCTGTATACTGCTGTATCAACCAAGAGGGTCTATAGTAAATGGTGTTTTTAATGTATGAGCTGTAGTGAACCAGACATCCTTAAGGTGATATTGCAGTGGCTATATTGGGTCTAAAGTTGTACAATGCAGAGTGTGTATTTTATTTGTATGTTTTGCTGTTGAATTATAAAGCTAAATCTTTAATGAAATGACTAAAATAAAGTCTTGCTCTGCACTGTGTGTTTTTATTCCCACTTGTTGCCGGGTTGTCCAAGTCACCAGCTGTATTAGATTTGTTCTCTAAAGTGTTTATATTGTTTCACTCTTGCCTGAAATGGTAATTCTGTACTCCATGCTTGTATGATTTTTCAGTCCAGACACATGGTTAAAAATTGGTGTTACTGTTGCGTGTTATGCATTGCTGCACTACATGTTACTGCAGTACATCGTGGCACACATGAAGCGCCACTGGACCCGGCAGGTACACGCCGTTATCAACCAGATGCTGCAACTCAACTTCCAGAATTATATACATGTTAGTAACACAGTAATTGCTTACATAGAAAGATATCAGAGTTTATGCTGTGTAAAGTCTGTATCTTATAATTATCAAATTGTTATAAGAAATGGGAAACAGATGAGTGAATTGAGTATCAGTTTACAATTCTTAAGTCTTCAGAAGCTGCATGTGTTAAATTTGTGAAATATTCTTAAACTGTCAAATTAAATTTTTCAGTAATTATAGGAAAGAATACTAGTCATCTGTAGTAATATAGCACCAACACTTCAGAAATAATAAGATTGACTTATTTTTTCATATACACAGGTATTGCCACATATACAAAGAATTGGCATGAAAGCCACTCAAGTGGCACGTAGTATTTCTGAATTTTCATCAGATGAGAAGAGTGAGACATCAATATCTGAATACACTTCAAGGTCAGAGCAACATTTATGAGAGTACAGCATTCTTATTAGGTTTGGAGTTGAAACCTTGTTTTATATTTGTGTATGATGTAGGTCTGTTATAAGTCTTAACCTTCAGTGCAGTTAAGCTGGAAGTACAGTGCTATATTAAGTATTAAATGTGTAGCTTATTCTATTGAATATCTCATCTAATGAAAATTGTGGATAGGATTATTGAAATGGATATGTGAGCCAGTGGACCACCAACAGTAACTGAATATCCTTTCTCCAGGTATATGACTGACTTTGAACTAGTTCAGTGCCTTGGTCGAGGAGGTTTTGGTGTGGTGTTTCAAGTACGCAATAAACTTGATGAGAATGAGTATGCAGTAAAGAGAATTACACTTCCTACCAAGTAAGTGCACTTAACTTACTGCACTGTAAACTTAGTTTTGAACTTCCAACCAGTGTGCTTTTTTGTGCATCTAAATGGTAATTTGAAAGCTTCTCTGTCCAGATGGGTTTTAATGGTGTATATGTCTATGTCTCTATGAAAAATACAAGAGATTGTATTTTACTGTCAAAAGTGCAGAACCATTGCCTGATTCAGTCCATGGCTGGGAATATTAACACAGGTATTCTCTATCATATACAAGCATGTTTATGTGTGTCTTGTATGAGGTGTTATGGCGAAGAAAAGTGCCGTTATCTTTTCTCATAGTACTGTATAGAGTTTTCCCATGATACATGTATATTAAATATAATTTAGGTAGGCATTTCTCAAATCCTACATTACTTTTACCTAAGAAATTGTTTATAATGCAGGAAGTCATCAGCTGAGAGAGTGAAGCGTGAAGTGCGAGCACTAGCCAAGCTCGATCATGGCAACATTGTCCGCTACTATAATAGCTGGTTGGAGTCACCTCCACCAGGATGGCAAGATGAGGTTGATGCTCTTTGGAAAAAAGGGTAAGTTACTTCAAAGTTACCTCTATTTAACCAAAACAAAAATGTGTATACTTATTTAAACAGCAGCATTCCAAAGATATATTTTTCTCATGTTGCTTGAATAATAAATGAGATACCATTTTTTAAAATGGTTTACACTCTAACATGATAACTAGTATTTCACTTTCTCTCATCATCACAAGACACAATGCTAATCTTGATATGTGCATATAACATTCATAATACTTTGATAGTGTGAATGACGGTGAAAGTGTTTCTTTTTTGGGTCATCCTACCTCGGTGGGAGACGGCCATCGTGTTAAAGAAACACAAATATTTTGAACACCTTTCTGCGTGTTTATTGACTAAGATATGGAGGTGAATGGTTTTTGGAACCTGACGAGTTGTTGGAGTGTGAGCAGGGTAATAACTTGTGAAGGGATTCAGGGAAACTGGTTAGCTGGTCTTGAGTCCTAGAAATGGGAAGTACAGTAGACTGTTTTATTACATGGATTTATTTGCCACGTTTTGGCTGTTGCACTGTTGAAAAATTGCGGCACAATTTTATACAATACTTTGTAAAATTAACTTAACACAGTTCTTTTTGCGGGCACGAAAAAAATTTACCCAGCTCAAGCTGCCTTCTTGTAGGTCAGTGGGGGAGACCTACTGCCATCGTCTTCCACCCCTGACACTCCTGCTATCCCCCATCGCAGCCTTCATTCATTTGTGTCTAGTACCATTCTCTCTTAGGAGCTAACTGTGTTTGTGAATTGTGTTTTGATCTTTTAATTGCCATATCTTGTATGTACCAGGCAATCATGGCACCCAGTAGGCATATAGGTGTTGCTGAAAGTGGCAAGAAAAGGGGTTAAGTGTTTAAGTCTTAGAGATAATGAAGAAAATAAAGATAGTAGACAAGAGATAGCCTCTGGCCTTAATTAAGCCTCAGTTTGTGCAATTAAAAAGAATGAGGTAAATATACGAGTTTGTGTGATGAACATCTGACTTACTTGACTGACAGATTTACTTGACTGACTCACTTTACTCACTGACTTAACCCTTAAACTCTCCAAATGTAGATCTGTGTTTTCACTGCCAGCACTCCGAATATTTTGAAAAAAAAAAAAAATAAATAAATTAAAGAGGGCAATTTTCTGTGTGTTTGGTCTTATACCAAAAAAAATTTTAGGACCAGTACTTACTGAGATGTAAGACCACGAAGTTGGCACTGGATGCTCACCTGACGGCAACATCGAGTCCTGGCACTTGCAGGAGTGTTGCCGATATACCTTTTTTTTCTGATTTTTATTTTATGTAATTTTTGTTCTGATAATTACAATTTATAATAGTTCTTGTGATTTCATAGCCAGTCTTTGTTCTGACACTAATATTAGGCACTCAGATAATCACAATCACACCAACAGGTGAACATTTTCACCTGCCTTGGTCATTTACTATTGTCTAGAAATATATATATTTATAGGTCTCAGCAATATTTTAGACATGCTGGAGTATATATATGAAGCTTCTTGAAGCATGGTGTTTATGACGATTGTCACTAAACTGCTGACAGGGTAAGCAGTGGAGTGACACATTGATATTACAGTGCTGCAGGTAACCCTGGCTTTATTTGTTTTCACTGTTACACACAAACATGCATGTCTGTTGATCTGTCTAGTTCTCCATATCTGTCTTTTAGCCTGTGTCTGTGTCTTTCTATCTGCCTGTGTGTCTTGGTCTTTGTCTGCCTGTGTGTGCGCGCGTCTTTCTGTCCCCCTGTGTGTTTTTCCGTCTGCTTGTCTCTCAGTCTCAGAGAGTGGCTCGTAAACCAACAGGTATTACACATGATGACTACGCAGTAGTCACATCTGATTCCTCGTGAAATGAAAATGCATATTACTTGCCACTGAGTTGCCAATCATGCTTATGTCTTATATCTACAAGCACTGTATAGTGCTTTGCCTGGAATTTTTGGGTTATCCTAGGTAATATACACTATGTATAATACCTGTACTTATGTGTACATGTGAGAGATAGACAGATATATAGACAGACGGAGAGAGAGAGACAGCCAAAGCCAGCCAGCCCACCAAATACGTATTACACGTTCCAGAATCGTTTTTCTTTACTTAGGGCATAGCTTATAGGACATTCTGGCAGGATGACGCTACCTGCGGTATCAGAAATGAAAGGATGCTCCACAGATGTTACACATGGGTTATTATCGAGGTTTTTGATATTTCCTCGGCCACTTGTGGCCACATCCATCACTTTCCTCTTAAAAGGGCAGTGTTAATATGACATGACATCAGTGAATTTCTAGTGTTTGCCACACTATTTGCTCTAGCTGGTGCTCAGTTCAATTGGTGCTCCCACAAGGTACTAAGTGGTCCCAAATTTTTTTAATACTGCACACACTGAGTGTTAAGACCCATTCTATACTGACCAGGCATCTCAGGCTAATCATGCCAAATTTGAAGGCAGGAAAACTAAAATGTAGATATACGTTTGGAGCACTAGCAGTACTAACGTAGATCTACGTTTGGACAGTTTAAGGGTTTTCACTGAAGAGGACCCTAACAAATCTAGAAGCAGTGCACTGAAACGGTGTCTACAGCAGTTGATGCCTTACTGTCAGCTGTATAATATACTGCAGGGTAAAATAGAACAGAAATCCATCACACAATTTATGCACACTCCAGTATAACCATCGACTTCAGTATCAGAATCTCTACCATCCACCTCAGCCCAGTAGAGTCACAGCTCTACTATTATTTTCTGTTGCATTTGTAGTCTTAAGCAGTAAAAACAACATAATGCATCATGACAGTGAACTGAAATTACATATTCACTTTTATTTTTGTAAGATGTGGAGGTCTAAACAAAAGTTGTTTGGCTTTTTTGGGGCTCCCAGGAATGTAACCCTATTTTTCCAATAACTTCTTCAGTTTATCTAACACGGATTTACCTAACATGGTGTTTTCAGGAACGTAACTGCCGTGTAATATAACAGTCAACTGTACAATGTCTGCACCTTAACCCTTTAACTGTTGAGACCCCTGATCACAAACTTGCTCTCAGTGTCGAAAACTATTAAAAAAATAAAAAAATCATCTATTTTTTCTTTTCAAAATCTTAAGAATATTTTTTGAGTTTTTTAAAAAGAAAAAAAATTGTGATCAGTATTTACTGAGATATAGAGGTGTGAAATTGACAGAGTGAACCGTTGACGACAACATCAGTGACTGCTGCTTACTCTGTAATATTATTTTTACTTTTATTCTATTTTTTCTTTTCTAATATTTTATTTTTTCAAGTAACTTTTTTGGCCTGTGAGACCAATATAATGCATAATGTATATATATCCACTCATTAGCACCGATTGGCACCCTGCTGCCAATCCCAGATGAGATCTGCTGGTGGGTACTGGATATTGACAGGTTGTTGTGGTGTGTGGGTGGTTGAAGGTGGCCTTTGTTGTGGATGTGCTGAGTCAGCGGCATGGCTACCAGCCTGGGGTGCCACTGGTGCCACATAATGCATTACACCACCACCTGCTGCCACACGTATATTATCCATCCCAATTGTAACATTACTCATTACCCATACTGTCTTTCCCCACTGCCCACGCTGTCTTCCACACCATCTTTCCCACCACCCATGCTGGAAATAACTCAGACTTTTTGGGGTTATCCTAGGTTCTCTGCACATGCTGCTATGTATGATAATCTTCGTAACTGTATTTGTGTATACCTGAATAAACTTACATGCCGTCTTCCCAACTACCCATGCTGTCTTTTCCACCACCCACACCATCTTCCTCACCATCCACGCTGTATTCCCCACCACCCACGCTGTCTTCCCTTTTCACTATCCGTATCTGATATCCTGGGCATTGCTTTCGGTCACACTCATCAAAGCCATGAAATTCATCTTCACTGACACTTTCATCGGTGTTAGAACTATCACTTGGGAAGAGAAGAGTCCCAATTTGCCGGGGAGTGAGGTATTCCTTACAACTAGGCATGGTGAACAAGGCATACTAAATTAGCACTCCCACAATGCACTGTGGCCTCCCAGATTTTTTTTATACTGTGCACACTGAACACACAGACCCATTCTCTCACATGTAGGCCTACCAGCTTTCTCCTACCAGATCTGAAGCTGCTAGAATTCTGGCGTAGTATTAAGGGACTGACACTGGCTTTCAAGCCATAATATTATGGGACCGACAGTGAAAGGGTTAACCCTTTCAGGGTCCAAGGCCCAAATCTGGAGTCACGCACCAGTGTCCAAGAATTTTCAAAAAAAAAATTTGTTATTTTTTCTTATGAAATCGTAGAGAATCTTTTTGTGAAGGTAATAAAACAAAAAGTACGAAATTTGGTGGAAAATTGACGAAATTATGCTCTCGCGAATTTTGATGTGTCAGCGATATTTACGAATCGGCGATTTTGCCGACTTTGACTCCCATTTTAGGCCAATTACATTATTCCAATCAACCAAATTCTTAGCTATTTCACTAGTATTACTTCTATTCTATCGATTGAGCACAAGAAATCGCCAAGTCAACTGTTTCAACTACAAAATAAAGTGATCGGAAATTGTTAATTTGGCCAATTTAACACAAAGTTCAAAATATTCCAATTTCAAAATAGGGTCCAGGATAAACAATGTAGGCATTCCTGGCACTAAACTAACATTTCCTCTGTTCATTAGTCATGTTTTGAGGCTTTACAAATAAATTCCATTTTGATTTTTTATTCACATAATGAATTTTTATTCACACCAAAAAATAGAAGATTTACTGCTATGCAATACTGTAATAATTGTATAAATATCATCACCATATTTGTGAATGTATATTAGACCCACCAGCTGACGTGTATTAGACGTGTGAGGTCGTTTGTTTACTGTTGAATATCGGCAAAAATTTAACATTTCCGCTACTTTGAGCTCAGTTTCAAGCCATTTCCAGTGTTAAAACCAATCAAAATCATCTCTATTTCTGTAATATG